CCCAGATTAACCTGCATCATAATAAAGGGGCCTCAGTGATTCTAGCCAGGCACCAGTCGAGGACGATGCACACAGCCATCTCTCTGATGCAAGAACCATGGGTAGTACATGGTTGCATTAGAGGAGTGGCAGCATGTGGAAAGCTTTTTAGGGTTCCCACTGAACAGAGACCCATGGCATGCGTTGCAGTTTAGGGTCTGGAGGCGCGTCTTCTGCTAGAGCTATGTTTCAGAGATCTCGCAGCAGTGGAAGTGACGGCAACCAGCGGGGCTGGAGGCACCAAAAGGTTGGTGATATGTTCGGCCTACTTCCCACATGGGGAAGAGGTGCCGCCACCGGAACTGGCTGGCAGATTTCTGCCAAAAGGAAGGACTGCCACTGGTGGTGGGGTGCGATGCCAACGCACACCACACGATATGGGGCAGCACCAACACGAACGAGCGATGGGAGAAGTTGCTGGAGTACCTAGTAACGACCAACCTTGAAGTTCTAAATAAAGATAACCAACCCACATTCTGCACGAGAGAGTGAGAGGGTGAGAAGGGAAGTGTTTGACCTCACTCTCTGCTCACGAAGGGTTGTGCGCGAAGTGGCGGGATGGAGAGGATAAATCCTCTCTCTTCAATCACAGACTAATAACCTTTAGGCTTTCAGATCTCAAAGTGAAGGCCAGGAAAGTGAGGAATCCAAAGCGGACTAGGCCTCCTATGGGAAGGACAACGGTCTGAAGGATTTTCCCAAGAGGTATGGCACGCCAGAGGAGTTGGAGCTCTGTGTGGAGCGCCTACAGAGAACCCTGGTAAACTCATATGAGGCAAATTGTCCGATCAGGACGGTGACTAATAGCAGGGGGATCCCCTGATGGAACCCACGACTACAGAGTTTCAGAGCTAAGGCACGTCGAGCCTGGAATAAAGCCAGGAATACGAGCCGGCCCTCCGACTCGGATCTCTATAGAAGGGCCCAAAAGGAGTACAGGGACTCTGTTGAGACAAAGAAGAGAAGCTGGCGGGATTTCTGTGAGTCGGTGGAAAGAATTCCTGCTACCGTAAGACTGTAGATTTCTGTTTAGAAATCCGGATGCGACACTGGAAGCAATCCAGGAGTTGGATGGTAACATGGTGTCTGGAGAACGATTCCTGGTTTACCTCTTGAAGGCCAACTTTCCTGGTTTTCAGAGGGATGTGGACAGGTTTTGGGAAGTTGACGCGGGCCTATTTAGGTCTCGCGCCAACGACTGGAAGTTAGCGGCTGAAATTGTGAGGCCGGACAAGGTCAGGTGGGCCATTGGCTTCTTCAAATCTGCGGGGCCCGACCTTGTTTTTCCAGCTCTTCTTCAGAAGAGGCAGGAGCAAATAACCGGGCTTCTTACGAGGGTGCTAAGGACCTGCCTAGCCCTTGGTTACACGCCTCGAATATGGAGACGGGCGAGAGTGGTTTTTATTCCCAAAGGGGGGAGAACAAGCCACGTCTCTGCCAAGGACTTTAGACCGATCAGCCTGACCTCGTTTCTTCTGAAAACGCTGGAGAGGTTGGTCGATGTCTACATAAGGAACAATGTATTGGCCCGTGATCTTTTACATTCGAACCAGCATGCATACCGGGCCGACTACTCGAGTGACACGGCTCTTCACTTGATGATTTCGGCCATCGAGCAGCAACTTCAACAAGGGGGCTTTGCGGTAGGTACCGTCTTGGACATTGAGGGGGCTTTTAACAACACCTCACATCGAGTGATCTGTGCCAAGGCAGCAAGACGGGGTGTTCCGGCGAAGCTGATTAAGTGGAACCGTGGAATATTTGGACATCAGGTGACGACCTCACTAGGAGCGGTAAGTGTTAAAGGATGGGTGGGGAAGGACTGCCCCCAAAAAGGAGTTTTCTCACTGCTTCTGTGCTTGGTAGCGGGTAGGCTGCTTAAAATGCTCAATGACAAGGGCTTCGAATCGATTGGGTATGCTGATGATTTGGCTATCCTGATTCGGGGACCCTTCTTAGAGACACTTCTTGGGCTCACAGGAGGGGTTCTAAAGGTGATCGAGAAATGGTGTAGAGAGACGGGTCTGTCGTTTAATCCAAAAAAGACAAATCTCGTAATCTTTACCCGTAAGTATAAGGTGGACTCCGTGCAGGGGTTCGTCCTTAAGGAAGTCAGGTTGATACCTAAAGGTTTGGTCAAGTATCTGGGAGTAATTCTAGATAAAAGACTGAACTGGAAGCTGCACCTGAAAACGGTGTGCAAGAAAGCCTGCACATATTTCTAAATGTGTAGAAGAACCTTTGGACAAACTTGGGGCTTGCAGCCGGACAGAGTGTTCTGGACGTACACTGCAGTGCTCCAGCCAGGATTGCTCTATGCAGCGGTGGTTTGGTGGCCGAGAGTTCAAGTATCCGAAGCCCGGGCATTGCTGGAGCGCGTCAGGGCTCTTATTCTTAGAAGTGCCCTAGATGTTATGAGGACAATGTTAGTGGCGGCAATGGGACTGCTGCTTGGCATTGAACTACTCCATCTCTTGATAGTGGCGGCTGCGGCCGCTACTGCCAATAGATTGAAGTGCGGGGATAAGAGGACGGTCGGTGCGACCCACACTTGGTTTCCACGGAAACTCCTGACAGGGGCCGTGTTTGAGATAAGGCAAGATAGGATGTCTGTGAAGCGTGACTTCAATAGATCTTTTAAGATCTATATTCGTAGTCGTGAGGAGAGGCATGAGGTGCCCGTCATCACGAACGGGGACGTCTGCACGGATGGCTCCAAGACTGATACGACCGAAATAAAGAGTCAGCTGGTTGCAGGAACACCACGCTGACTTCTGGAGAGAAATGACAAGAACCAAGTGCCGACAGGCAAGGGCTCTTCTGGGAGAAGTACCCAGAGGGAATCTTGCTAGAAATATCAGGGCCTTGAGGAGAAAGGAAACCAGACTGGCGGTGCAGATGTACACGGACCATGGCTTTACCAATTACCACATGCACAAGCTGGGGCACTGTGATACCCTAGTGTGCAGGAAATGCAGATTTGATGAAGAGACTAATCTCCACGTGCTGTACGAATGTCTGGCTTACGCTGGGCACAGACGACTTTTATTGGGCTCAGATTTTCTCGAGCTCGAGCAAGTTCGGCAACTCCAGACCAAGGACCTCCTCCGCTTCTGGGGGATGACGGGTATTGGCTGACTTGGAGTTAGCCGCGAAGACACAATGGACCTCGTCTGCATGTCGTTGGTGGACCTCCGATAGATGCCTTCCGGGAGTATTATTATTTTATTATTAATAATTTAGTCCGATTTTTAAGTCTTAACTAACAAATACCGCATATACAGATTCCAGACATCGTCGTTAATTTGTTAAATATCGCATTATAAACAAATGAATAGCTAAAGAGACTCATAACTTGTTCCGTTTGATTCATTAATGTTAAATAACAATTATCAAACAAGTGGATTATCGATATTTTCGTTCGATTGTTAAATAATGGATTTTAAACAATTGCAACAGTTCAAACTGATTTCTAAGTCTTAATTAACAATTACTGCATAAACAGATCTCAGATATCATCGATAACTTGTTAAATATTGCGTTATAAACAAATGGATAGTGTGAGAGGTTTAGAACTGATTTTGTTGAATTTATTAATGTTAAATAACAATTATCAAAGAGATAGATTATTGAAATCTTTATCCGATTAATAAATATACTTTGCAAACAAATGCAATATTTCAATCCGATTTATGTTTTAATTAACAATTTACATTACATACAAATAGATTTCAAATATCATCGTTAATACCCGATTATTAAATAATAGACTTTAAACAAATGCAATAGTTTATTCCGATTTCTAAATTTTAATTATAATTAGCAATTATCAAATATCATCTTTAATTTGTGATAAAAGATATCGCGTTAAACATCTTATTATTCTCATTCGCAAACAACAAGGATATATGCAATGATGATACATAAGGACACGTTATGTTTTCGAACTGCGCGCGTATAATCTCACACATAAGAACGCATCTTGACAAACAGTCGCTCGCTTTGTGAATGGGGCTTGGCGGACAGTCTGAATTGTCTAAAGACGACGACGACTAGAATCGCCAAAGTGGCAAAACGTGGCATTTTTAGAAACTCGATTTCGAGACCTCGAGATTGATTGCACCGATTTCATTCAGACTGGTCTCAATCGAAAGCTCGTGTCGACATTATATAATAAAAGTGTTTCAGATTTTTCAATAGAACTTTTGTTTCCGAGATATTAAAATCAGAAAATCTGACTTGGCAAAACTTTAAGATAAAGCTAGCGGTAGCGTCCCGAGACAATACCAGTGCCGTATACTCACAGGTCATCACCCGACTTTTATATACAGGGTGTCCCGTAATGACCGGACTAACGCTCAAGGGTAGATTCCTGAGATCATTTTAAGACAAAAGTTCCAATACCAAAATGTTGAGACTATAATAGTTTTTGAATTATAAGTGTTTAAAGTTAACTAATCAGATCGTCTAAAGTTGGCGCGCTCAGGTACGGCACGCGCAACTCCTAAAAACAAAAGCTGACTTATTGCCCCTTTTATTAATATCGATATAAGGATTACATATGTGAATATAAGATTATTTTTATCGATATTTCTGCAAACACATTGCGCGATAACATTGTACAATAATATTTTCTTTTTTATAATAACATTTTTTGTCTT